AGTTCCCCTACTTCTGCGACTGGATATGTGGATTTTCTGTGCGAGGGCACCCTCTGGCATCCAGTATGAATGAAACAGACATCATGTGTTTATAGTGCTAATGGCCAATCCATAATTTTGTGGGGAATTTTTATTTTTTAATAAGTATCGGTTCAGGCACTGTTTAGAACACCGGAACCATTTAAAAAAAAAAAAAAACGATACCCAACCCTACTCGCAACTATGACTTTTTAACTCGCAATTGCGAGTTTGTATCAAGCAATTCTGAGAAAAAAAGTCAGAATTGTGAGATAAAAAGTCGCAATTACCTTTTTTAATTTTTATTCAGTGGCGGAAACGGGCTTCCATACTTATGCTCACCAAGGCAGCATTTATTTGATCAAAAATACAATAAAAACAGTAATATTCTGAAACATTATTACAATTAACAAAAAAATTACAAAAATAACTATTTTCTATTTGAATATATTGTAAAATGTAATTTATTTTTGTGATCAAAGCTGAATTTTCAGCATCATTACTCCAGTCTTCAGTGTCACATGATCCTTCAGAAATCATATATGCTAGTTGTGTGGCTTCATATTTTTGTGGAAACCGTGATACGTTTTTTTTCTTCAGACTTCTTTGATGGATAAAAAAGTTCAAAAGAACAGCATTAATTTTTAATTCTTTTGTAACATTATAAATGTCTTTGCTGTTGCTTTTGATCAATTTAATGCTTCCTTGCTGAATTTAAAAAAAAAAAAATCTTTAAAAAAAAAACCTTTTGAAATGGAATTTTTAATTATTTTGTAACATTATAAATGTCTTTGCTGTTGCTTTTGATCAATCTAATGCTTCCTTGCTGAATTAAAAAAAAAAAAAATCTTTAAAAAAAAAACCTTTTGAAATGGTAGCATAAATATGTACCGCTGGGTGAGGAGAGCTCTCCGTATCATACTGATCCAGATCAGCTCCTGGATCAACACTCCAGCTCTGATCTGTGACAAATAAAGACCAAATAATCAAAAAACATCAGGAAAACCATTCAACCTGAACTACTCAAAAACTATTAATGGAAACGGTTCATAATAGATCTGTATTACCGTATGGAAAAGGCATGTTTTGGTTCTGAAGAGAACTTTTGCGAGGTGTGTGCTGGTCCAAACATTTCCTCTTCTTTGAATCCTACAAATATAACAGTTCAAACCAACTCAAGTGCATTTTAATTTGATCTATTTCATGTAAAACTGTTTTGAAATAAACAGTAAAATCAGCTGATTTGCTGTATTGCTGCAGTCTGACTGTGTCTAACCATTGTTTCCTGATTCTTGTTCTGTATACGATTGCTAGTTGGAGTGGAAGCCAACATCATCCCCTTGATTTCGGTTTCATCAGGATCATCCAGGCTGGAATCAGAAATCTCTCTTTTCCTGCCATCCTTATGTTTTCTCTTCCCTTTAACTGGCACACGTGTGCTGGTGTTTGAAGGTGTGTGGGGAAAGTCGTCTGCAGGCGGCTGCTGCTCTCGAGAACCCAACGGATGGCAACGCAAAACGGACGGCGATTCGTCATTCTGGACTGCAGTGACTCTGGAAAAAATAGCTACTATTATAAAGTATTTGCTCCAGATATCTTTCGGTCATTATTAAGAGCTCAGAAGGAAGTTTATTTGGGTTTAAGAGTGTCTCTTTACATGTTTGTGCAGTCGTGTGACTCAGGTTGTTGGTTTCGTTCAGCGTGTGGTGAAGTGTGAAGATCATCATCATTTATATCATCAAACTGGAGGGAAAACACATTTGACATGTGAACACACACTTCTAAAAACTGCCATAGAGGTTTTCCATGTATAACTAAGCATGGTCATCTTCAAAATGCACAGCTGAAAATGGCATTTCGGGATATAACACATGACTGAGATTAGGGCTGCACGATAAATCGAAATGGAATCGAAATCACGATTCGTGAGATTGTGTCAAACTATTGATGAAGATAAGGCAAAACCTGTTCTGGACAGACGTCCATACGGCAGGTCTCAGGAACCACAGTCCTGAAATGTTTCTTTGTTTGAGGCTCTAAAATAAAAACACATTCATGTTATCCTTACAGAGAACATCATCTCAAACATACGTTCATTTAAGTCCAAAATATTTAACAGATGCATATTTACATTTGTTTTAAGAAAAATACCTTTAAACTCACATTGACCGTTAACTTATTGGTTATGGTTAGACATAATATGTATGTATTAATAATATAAATTCTAGATGAAAATCAGCTCATAATACCTGCAATACAAGTGACATCCATTTCACATGTCTCAGCTACCAACACACCTCTGCCATTACAGCTGAAGGGCACAGACAGCTCTTCTCGCCTGGGTTCTGCAAATTATTAAAGATAAAACAAAGTATGTAATTTTTATATTAAATTAAAAATAATTAAATTAATACATATACATATATATGTATATAAAGTGTATATATATATATATATATATATATATATATCATTAAAAATGTTTCTAGATAATCAAATCACACACATATATATATTAGTTCAAATAGCTAAATTAGTGAATAACAATTTGTATATATACGTAATAATTAAAACTCTCAATACTTTCAAATCTCAAAAAGGAATTTTGGGAATTATGAATGAAGGCCAGAGGCCTCTCATGAGTGTCTTACCAGGGTATGAGAGTGATAGTGGTGTCTCAGCGTAGCGGACGTGGTTCTGCTCTTTCCGTCGTTTCATCTTGCTGGCAACAGGTAAGGACAGCGGACGGAGAGGGGAGTCTGGGATCATCCCCTCCTCGGCCTCAGAACACACATTCTGCGGAGAACTAGACTCATACAGAGACATCCACTTAAAACAGACACTCATGTGATGCACTTTATCATTACAGATCTCCACAGACATGTGGAGGTTTTTTGTCATGTTTCATTTGACTTTGAGACTCACCCTGACTTTCTAAGTCGCTCCAGCTCAAGACTCAGTTTCCTGTTTTCATCTTTCAGAGTCTTCCTCTCTGCCTCTAAACTCACCGACACACATTACAGTAGATGGGTTGGTAGTAACAGAGGTGTAGATATTCCCTCACAGATGAGACACAATACAATACATAATAATAATAAAACAAAAATGCTCACCAAGTTCAGAGATGACAGACAGATTTTTCTGATTAGTATCTTCAAACTCAGTGTTGGTCTTTTTAATCTGCTTCTCCATCACGGCGCAATGGTCACATGGTCCAGAACGCACCCTAAACACAGAGACAAAAAAAACCCCAGCAACTAAGATTAGGAAAATTAAAACAATGTGTTGCTAAAAAGGTAAAAACGTCCTTTTCAGAGCACCTGTCCTCTAACTGTCTGCTCTTCTCCTGCAGGATCTTCTGTTGTTCTCGTAACTGCTGGTTCTTGCTGTGAAATTCACCCAGTCTCTGAGCATCTCTGAGAGGAAAGCAGAATTATCACAGTTAGAGATCATATCTGACATTACAGAATACTTTAATCAAAAGAAAGACCCTTCACATTTTTTAATGATCATCAATTATCAGTCTATTTAAAAGTCATTAAACCAAACTGATATATAAAAAATCTTCATGGAACTTTTTTAATTAATATTCTTATACAGTAAGCCTTAAACTTACAGACAGCGCTCTTTCTTCAGTTTGGTTATTTTTGCCTGTAATTCTGAAAATGAGAAAAGCTGATGTCAGTGCAAAAGCAAAAACATATCATATTGTTTTCAATTGATTAGACATCCTTTTTGATTATTACAATTTAATGAAACCAATAAAAATATTGGATTTTATTTTAGCTTTTTTTTTAAGTAACAAGTTAGATATATGTATTTAAAAAAAAAGAGCTAAATGCTACATTTTTAAACATATCTGATGACATCTTAGATATCTAATGCATTAGTAAGGTAATGCAACTGTCAGATAGCAATTAGCATTTGAACAGAATCTACAGTTTGTACTTGTGCAGGGAAAGAGAAAGCTCTTGTACCTTGCAGAGCAGTGTCATGGACCTCTCTCACGGCATTCAGCAGATCCTGGAGTTTCTCTCTGGAGTCTGCAGATGTGCTGGAAGCAGGGCTCAGATCTGGAGTACTCATCCTCAGTCAGTCTATCAGACTCCTTCTGTCTGCTCACTTCCACACACGAGGGATAACCAACGTAATTCGACATAAAGTTGACATTCGCTGTTTCACACAGCTGACTGACTAATATATTCCTTTCGGCTGTTTACATAACAACACCATGCGCTACATGTATCCGAGCATAAGAATAAAACAAGTATATTATAAATAGAAATGCGCGTATCACAACTCCTGATATTTCTGTTCCATCATGTAAATATTCGGATTCCGCGCCTCGCGGAGGATTCTGGGAGTTCAGCTGCGGCCAATCAGAAGAGCGTTACTGACATCTAGTGGCCAAAACTGCATTAAGAACGAAAAATTGATAGACTGTACACAAGATTCGAAACTGTGTATATAATTGCTTTATATTATATTATATTATATTATATTTTTAATTTATATGCAACTGGATAGAGTAACTCTAATAGGTAAAATAATTGCACTATATTTGTGAAAATATCAAACATTAATTTAAAAATAATAGTTATTACATATATATATATATATATACATACACATATACACACATACATACACACACACACGTTAAAACATAAAAATTTAACATTATATAACATTATATATATGTGTGTGTGTGTAATCAAATATTAATTTAAATATGAATATTTTCAAAAAATTACATTATTTTACACGCATATATACATAGCCATTTATAATGTTATATATAATATATTAGAACTATAACAATATATATACACACACGTTAAAACATAATAATAATTAAACTTTAAAAAGCAATAAGAATTTTCTACTTTATAGGTAAATAGTGAAATTATATTTCTATCTATCCTCTAGTCCAGTAGGTGTCGTTTAATCATACGGTAACACAGCAGATTCGCCGAAGAAGACTCAGCACCGGAAGTGAGGCTAAACTTTGCTCTACACAGCGGAAAACAGCTGTTGTTTAGAAACAGGAAAAGATAGGTAAGTTCGGCACTGTACTTTATCACTGCCGTTTCTTTCTCTACCTGTCATAATAGTTATATGTTAGTCTTATTTACTTATTTGGAATATATAGTCGACAGTAGTGAATGTCGTTGGCTTTATAAGGAGACAGCTAACGGGGTTAGCCAGCTCTGCTAACTTTCTTCTCGACGTCAGACTGATGAGACACTTGAAAAATATAATTTATTTAATGCTTTTTATCTACTGTTCAAATCATCATAGCATGTTATTATACACTGGAAATGAGAATAAATAACTCATGTTTACTTCATACTTCTCATCTTTGGAGAAGCAGAGACTCTGATCTGAGCTGTTGACATGTCGATGTGTGTTAAAAAATTAAGAATATATGATTTATGTTGCGTTATTTTAATACACTACGAATATGGATAGTAGTGTTATTGTTATTACTGTTTGTAGGAGCGTTTATTGTAAGTTAAATGTCAGTAAATTGTCTCAGCTGTCACTTAAGAAATCCGTTATGATGGATGACAGCTGCTCATCTTCTGTATTCAGTATTTCTGTTTATCTGATTTTTGTTTCCTTCTGCAAGATTTTGACATTTAATTTTATTACTTACTGGTACTTAAATAGATTTTACACAAAGATTTGTTTTGAAGCAAACACATTAATTTATTTAAAAACAGAAATGATTGGTTTTGTACTTGCATGTAACTTGCTTTGTCATTTCTCCCTAGGATGCCTGGGCAGAAAAGAAAGATGCCTTCTTCTGAACCTGAAGTAAAGAAAACAAAGATAGATCAAAGTCTCGTGGAGTCAGATAAAACTCAGATGCCCAAGAAGTCTTTGAGAGGAAGACCTCCAAAAAACAAAGCGTTGGAAACTCAGTCGTCTAAGCAGAAACATAAAGCACAGCCGAGGGAAGAAAATGGAAAACCTGTTCGACGGTCGTCTCGCTTGAAAACGCCACAAAAGAAAAGCACAAGAGGAAGGCGGCGGAAAGATGAGGGGAAGCCGAAAGTCTCTGGAGATAAAAAATCTCAAAATATGTCTGTCTTGAAGAAAGGAGACAAGAAATATGTTTCAAGAGTAAAGAAAGAAAAGCCAGCAATCTCTGAAACAATTAAAACAGTCGCAACCTTGTTTCCTGTGCAAATAGAGCACAATTATGGACGATTGCTTGACCTTCAAAGTGAGGAGATAACGTTACCCAAACCTGACAAAATTCACGTGGCCAATATAAGCGATCTGCAGTTGCTTCACGAACCGCGAGTGAGCAAAGTCGAAGAGCATAAGGAGCTTCCGACAGACCCTATTGAGAAAATCACAGTGAGTGTGGATGCAAAAGTAGATGTGATGAGCAAATCTCCTCCACCTCTAGAGGCGCTTTTCAAAGTCATCCAAGAAACCAGCATCACGAAACACTCCTTCGCCGGTAAAGACATTTCCGACATGGATGAGTTAGAAGTCGTGAACACGTGTTCCCTGCAGGACAGCGTACAAAGTACCGACATGGCAAAAGTGTTTCTCCCGGATGCAGAAGCATTTCTGGATGACGATATTGAGATTGAACATTGTGTGGTGGAGATCGAAACTTATGAGGATTTGGAGGAGGAGGACACAGTGAAAAAACAAACAGGTGAAGCTGTGACGTGTAAGGAGGTCACTTCTTCGCCCTCTTTGCCCCAGGAAAGTGCGACGGACTCCTCGCAAGGGCTTCCTAAAAAGCAGGCCATGAACCCGCAGGCTCGGACGAAGGCACGTCTGGCGGCTTTAGCTGAAGAAAGGGCGGCTGCCGCTAAGAAACCCCCACCTCGACAGCTCAACCTCCTTGCTCTCTGTGAAGAAATCGCAGATGATATTGCATCCGATGCTCCGGGAACTTCAGATGAGAAAAATATTGAGCAACAACAGGAGGCGAGTGAATCAACGGAGGTTTGCGAAACCGAAAAAGAGGCATCTGAAAATGCTGCACCGCCCGAAACTTCTAGTGTTGATGATCTGAACACTGATGATCCCAAACCTGAGGATGGTACGGCCAAGAAACGTTTTTTCCTCAGCCAGGTGTCTTTGCCACTCAAGACCCAGGAGAAGAAGAAACTCTCCCGCTATCAGAGGCTCAGGCAGGTGGAGCTTCAGCGGGATAAGTTAACTTGGACCCGTGTTAAGAAGCTGAAGTCGGATCAGGCAAGTCAGGCTGGTTCTTCCAAGGAGACCGACGCTCCATCGGTCTCGCCCAGCCCGGCCACCACCCCTGCACAGGTTCCTGTGCCAGAAAGCGTGCCCAAAGTAGGCTCCAATGAACCCAGGAGGGCACTTCCGGCTCAGGCGCCACCCATGCCTAATGGAATCACCAGCCCCAAACCCAAACCAGTTGTGGAATATAAAGCCTACACTCCCAGATGCAAGTATTCACCAGATGACTTTGAGCTCGATGGTCTTGAAGAGGAGACGAGCAAACCAGCAGCACCCAAAAATGAGGTGAAACATTCATGCAGACACACATCCATTACCGTTCAAGAGTTTGAAAAAAAATGTGCAATGCATTAAAACACATTGCCAAAAACTATTTTTATTTGTTATAATGAATTATACTGTCCAATTTTTTTATAAATATAAAGTAGTAAAATGTGTATTATAATGCACTATTAATCAATGATGATGCATTAAAAATACTTTAAAAATGCATTACATTACACAAAATGTTCAAAGGTTTATGGTCAGTAAGGTTTTTTGAAAGAAATTCACACTTTTATTTAACTAGGATGCATTAAATTGATCAGAAGTGACAGTAAAGACACTTAGAACTTTACAAAAGACGTTTTTTCAAATAACGCTGTTCTTTTGAACTTTATATTCATCAAAAGATCCTGAAAAAAAAATGTATATCTGTTTATACAAGATTTGATATATTTCAATTTAAAAGCACAACTGTTTTCAACATTGATGATAATAAAAATGTTTCTTGAGCAGCAAATCAGCATATTAGAATGATTTCTGAAGGATCATGTGACACTGAAGACTGGAGTAATGATGCTGAAAATTCAGCTTTACCATCACAGGAATAAATTACACTTTAAGAAAATATTCAAATAGAAAACTGATTTTAAATTATTATAATATTTCACAATATTTACTGTATTTTGATCAAATAAATGCAGCCTTGGTGAGGATAAGAGACTTCGGAAGAAAAAAAAAATCATACACAACTCCAAACTTTTGAATGGTAGAGTAATTTGTAAAATAGGGATTACAACAGAGCCTCTTCCCTGAATATTAAACTTTAGCAAATAATATGCTCAGCATCATTTATGACTTGATACCTTAATGATACCTCAAATTCTACAGGTTGTTGAGGAAGGATGTACGATTCTTTTCGTTAGCTGTCAGACTTACAATTTATAGTCTAAAATATATTCTACACATTATTTGAATTAAATATATATTCTCTTTATGAAATGTCTACATACTTACACTCTAAACAACCACTACAATTGATCACAATATGTGTCATTCTCACAGGTCAAACCAGAGCAGTCCTCTTCATCAGCTAAAGTGCAGCCCAAACAAGCAGTGGAGAGAAAGCCATGCGTCCCCACTACTGCAGGTAGACATTGTATTAATTCATTTGTTTTTGAGTTGAACAAAAAAGCCTGACTTTTCTCAGTCTTGCAATGCTAGTTTCAAAATCGGCACTTGTGGATCTTATCATACCCAGTTAATGAATTGTTAAAGTGTTAAACGCATGCTAAATGAATGATCTTTGGCAGTATGTGTAATAATACAAATTTTTTTTATGTAAATGTTTTTTTTTTTTTTTTTTTAACTACCTTGTGGTGCATGTGTTCACAGATAATAAGCTGAAACCCTCTCCCCAGCAAGAACCTGACCAAAAGACGCAGACAGAAAACAGCAACCGGTAATTCAAAGGACTTTCATTAAAGATTTGAAAAGTAAAAACTTGCTTTCAGGTCTGTAAAAAAGCACAATATCATGTCGAAGTGTAATTTTTTGTCAAAATGCTTTCTCACATCTCAGTTTAATATGCAACTATAAGTAAGCTATTAAGTTTTATTAGCCTAAAAAAATGATGTGGATCTGCGTATCAGAGCATTGTTTGTTTGAGCAACACTGACACAACCAATGCCATGAGTTTGAGGTGCTATCATTTTGTTCAGGACAACTTTTTGAGAAAGTCGTCATTCTTTCATTATTTTTCTTTTTGCTATTCCATTTGTTGACGCTATTGTTGATGCTATTATACGTATTCTCAAAAGAATGAATGTCATTAGGGTCTATTCTATTCTCTAGTTTATTAGTTATTCTATAGAAAAGCAGTTTAACATCTATGACTTTCTGTTATCATTTCAGGGAAAATTCTAGTGTTGAACCTGGAGCAGAACAGAAGAAAGAGGACAAAACCAGTCCCAAACCTGCCAGTACAGCAGCACAGTCCGGCAATGTAAGTCAGTTATATTCTAACAACCTTTGTGTATTTGTTTAGGTTAATTTATGCCCATCCCCATTTGGATTAGTTCATCATAATTAATCATAATTTCCTTGTATTTTTTAAATTATAGACCTAAATGCAAATACTTGTCACAAATTTAAGATTGTTTTGGAATGAACAGTTAAACCTAGAAAAGAAGACATCAGTATTTGGTGAAGGCTGTTTTTGTGCTTTACAGGATGCTGGTCAGAAGGCATTTGGTGCGGTGACGTGTAACGTGTGTGGGATGCTGTACTCTCCTACCAGCCCAGAGGACGAATCCCAACACCTCCTCTTCCACAACCAGTTCATCAGCGCTGTCAGATATGTGGTGAGTCGAGAGAGAAACTGTTGTGTCCTATCCAGATACTTATTATTATTACGTTATTACGTTATTCAAAGTTATTTATCATAACATAAAGATGCTGTTTCAGTCAGATCTGTCAGCAGTAAGCACAGCCTTGAGTGGTTTTGTTTCTTTAATGTATTCTTATAAGATCAGTGTTTAAAAAAAGTACAAAAATATGAACTATCATTGTAGAATAAAAAAAAAAAAAGATTAAAAAACAAATTAACTAATTCATTACACATTTTCCTGTAATTAATCGTGATTAATTTAAGGCAGTGTATAATAAGTACTTATTCAGTGGCATTTTGTTATTCATTTCTGGGATAAAAATGAGTAAATATAGCCATTCAACATTACAGTAAAGTTTAAAAATATTCTAACTTGTCTTCACATAAACATATGGTGTGTGTTTCATATAGTGTAATATTTGAGAGACACCATTATGTGTTGCTTAATGTTCATTTTAGGATAGGGGTTACAGTCTCAAAATAACTATATACCCATGTCTCAAAATCATTATTGTAATATCTGTTCCAGGGCTGGAAGAAGGAGAGAATCTTGGGAGAGTATCCTGATGGCAAGATTATTCTTGTTCTCCCTGATGATCCTAAGTACGCACTTAAAAAGGTACTTGTCTCGTCCTCATATCCTTCCATTCACTACCCCTCAAGCTGTCTATTTCAAGATTTCTAATAGCTTTCCCGATACATATGATATCTGTTTATAATATTTGTCTGGTTTGATTTAAGGTTGAGGAGATCAGAGAAATGGTGGACAATGACTTGGGCTTCCAGCAAGTGGAGACCAAAGTCCCATCACAGACCAAAACCTTCCTCTTCATTTCAAATGATAAGAAAGTCACAGGCTGTCTAATCGCCGAGCACATACAAGAGGTCAGCTGAGCATACAGGTGTTTAATAGCATGTTTATAGGTGTATATCTTGCAGTTTATCTCATTAAATTCATGCATAATTTTAGAAACCAATAAGAGTGCAGAACTCGAAGCTCCTTTAATATATTTTATAATGTTTTACATTATTTAAACCCATTTATCAGAATTCCACTGGTTTTCAATTAGCAGAGAAAATGTGAAAAACATGCATATTCCATATAGGCCTTTTAAAAGTCATTGTAAGGTGCTACGTCTTTATGTAGTGTTCGTCTTAGTCTGTTCCACATCTGATGGTTTTGTTTGGCTGCTGTGTGCAGGGATACAGGGTTATAGAGGAGTCCGTGCCGGAGGGTTCAGAAGGAGAGAAAGTCATGTATGAGCGTCAGAGGGCCTGGTGCTGCTCTACCGTACCTGAGCCGGCGCTCTGTGGCATCAGTCGCATTTGGGTGTTCAGCATGATGAGACGGAGAGGCATCGCCTCACGCATGATAGAGTGCCTCAGGTAAAGGGTTGAACATTTTTTATGAGCAAGTCAAGTCACCTTTATTTATATAGCGCTTTATACAATACTGATTGTGTCAAAGCAGCTTTACAGTGTCAACAGGAAAATAGCTTGTCAATGAAGAGTAATTATAACCACAGATGTAATGTGTTATTATTAGTGCTTTCAAACGATTAATCGCGATTAATCGCATCCAAAATAAAAGTTTTTGTTTACATAATATGTGTGTGTTTTTTATTTTTATTATGTGTATATAAATACACACACATGCATGTATATATTTCAGAAAAATATGTTATGTTTATATATTAAATATATTTATATATAATATAAATTATATGAATATAAATATATACATGTAAATATTTTCAAAATATTTACTGTATGTGTGTGTATTTATATATACATAATAAATATACACAGTACACACACAAACACATATTATGTAAACAAACTTTTATTTTGGATGTGATTAATCGCGATTAATCGTTTGACAGCACTAGTTATAATATGTAAATATTAGTAGTTATAATGTATTAAAACACAACAACTACTTTTATACTGTCAAAGGTATAAATGTAACGTTTTAGTACAGTTATTTATGAAAATTATTATATTAAAATCAATTTGGGGGGCAGTACATTTTTTAAAGAAATTAATCATTTTATTCAGAAAGGATGTATTAGAAGTGATCGCAAAGACGTTTATAATGTTAGACAATTGTATTTTAAATAAATGCTGTTCTTTTGAACAAAAATGTCCTGAAAAAATGTATCACTGTTTCCACAAAATATTAAGCAGGACAAGTGTTTTCAGCATTGATAAAAATAATAATAAACATTTATTGAGCACCAAATTAGCATATTAGAAGGAAAATTCAGCTTTGCCATAACAAGAATAAATTACATTTTAAAATATATTAAAATAGAAATAATTTAAATTGGAATATTTCACATTATTACTGTTTATTTCTGTATTTTTTTTTTCTGTATTGTGAGTGTAAGAGATTTAAAAAAACATTAAAAACTTTAAAAAATCTTCCGATTTCTACAAATCTTTCTACAGTTTTCAAGTTTTAAAGTGTTAAACAAAATACATTTTTCTTTACAGTTAAGACTTAAATGTTTATTCATCTTTTTCTCCAGGAATAATTTCATCTATGGGTCTCATCTAAGTAAAGACGAAATTGCCTTCTCCGATCCCACGCCTGACGGCAAACTCTTCGCAACACATTACTGTGGAACCTCTCAGTTTTTGGTCTACAACTTTGTAAGCGGCAATCGCTCAACCTGACAGGACGTGGACATAGAGCTCAGTTTTAAAATATTGACATTTGAGAAGAGGACTGGACTTAGAAGACTTTATTTCACTATACCAAACAGTGCAAAAATGAAGTGAGAGAACAGAAACCGACCTTAGGATGTTTTAAAGGCTCTTTTTGTTCAGAGTCTTGCTTTGAATTGGTAAACATTGGCACAGGAGGTGTAGGATGCAAAGTTAGACACTGATATCTAACCCTCACAGCCAGTTTGACGTATTTTAATAAGCCTGCAGAGTAGCTTATGCCTGATGCATTGTTCAGTGAAAGACATCTAAACTGTTCTCTCAGGTTTAGGTTGCAGCCTATTTTAGGACTCACTGTTTAGTGGAAGCCATGTAGTCCAGTGCACAATTGCAAAATCAGTGTAAGTACTTCTTCCTAGAACATATAGGAAGACGTGTGAACTTTTTTACTGTAAGCAATGCCTCGGTCGTGAGGCGACGACTTTTGAATCTCAGGTTGAAAAACATCATATGAATTTGTCATCGAAATCTCCCTTTAACCCCTACATCATGTCAGCTATTTTCAAAGAGAGAGTATTTTCCTGATACAGTGTGTTCCATGTGCATTTTAAAGAGGTTTACATGCATGGCATTGACATCGATAGATGGCAGATGATTTCAAAGAAGTCGCTGGTTTTGCACAACACTGTGCAGAATGAATATGATTCATTTGTTTTTAAAACACAAGTGTAATAATTCAGAATGTTTGCCCGGTCATAGTATTCCATCTCATTTTAATATTTTTTAGAATGATTTTATGTATGTATATGTATTTTGATTGAATTATATTAATTTACTCATGACTACAGATGGCTCTTTCGTTATCTTCACTAGCAGGACAAAGGGTTAAAATCACTCCAGCCAAAATTTTTAATTGTTCTTTTATAAAATAATAGTTTAGTTCTCTGAAGTTGAAAATGATAGAAGCCTGATGATTGGGTTGCTTTTATACATTAGGGATTTACGTAATTTATAAATTGGGATGTTTGATCATTCTTTACAAACCGTGAAAAAGAACAGCTTACATTTGTTACTCATACAATTTACTTTTAACCTTATAGTAGAAAACAATTGAAAAGTCAGTGCAAAAGAGATTGAACGTATTTTAATATCTATATACATTTTATTTGATCACTTTTTGAATTTAAAAAGTGGAATTATGTATCTACATGTTGTTTTCATCTTTGGCGTAATGCACAAGGTCTCAAATGTGCTGAAGATTCAGGTACAAACTTTTCCCCCATTTTTCTAAAATTGTATTTTTTTTTTTTTTCCCTTCCCCTAAACTTTGGACCTCTGACTTTTATTTTGATAGGAACTCTTATTATGCAATATCATACTTCCGGTGAGCGTTAAAGACGCGATCACACATGTCTCCACGCGTAGTTGTGGGGCATGAGAAAAAGTAGTGTACGTTAAAAAGGCGTTAGTCTTTTTGTAATATATACCGTATAACAGATTTATTAACATAGTTACATATTAATGAGGGACAGCGCGTCATCTGTCTCCTAAAGGCTGTGTGTAACTAAAAACACGTGTTTTATAGTCATCATGGGGGATCAAATTGAGTTGGTCGCTGGCTGTTATGAGCAGATAGTGTTTGGATATCGAGTGAGCCCTGGTGACGAGGTAATTATCATTCTTCAAAACTTTTATTTTGTTCATTGATAGAATCTTACTTTGTTTTCAAAGTGAATGTTAAATGCAGTTGTGTCTGTTGGTTTGTTTCAGTCTGCATTTGCATTATAATTTTGATATTGGTCCATATTTAAACTCTCATAATTGTACAAACAGGGCTATTTTTGTTATAATAACTTACTCTAATAATAATGTAGACTTTAAATATAATCTTAATTAAAAAGATTTTCGTGTCTATTTTAGGAGTGGACAATTGAGCCCAACTTTACCCATCATGCACACACAGCATCACTGACTGCAGTTTCATCCAGTGATCAGTTCATCGCCACTGGAAGCAAAGATGAAACCATTCAGCTCTATGATATGAGCAAGAAAGCTGAACATGGGGCTTTGTTGCATCATGATGGTGAGGATGTTTATTTTGGTTTCTGATTGGACCTAAAGAGAGTCTGGCTTCAACGATTCTGCATCACTGATGTTTCAGTTTCATGTATTGTCATAAACCGTGTCATAAAGCATATAAATTGTAAGCTCACATTCTCGGCAGGTACTATCTCATGTCTGGAGTTCTACGGCACGTCCCATTTGCTCAGCGGAGGACAAGACGGGCTCATCTGTGTGTGGAGCACCAACAAATGGGAATGTTTAAAATCCATCAAAGCTCACAAGTAAGTTATCTGAAAACTATCCCAAACTTTTTTGATGTAATTAGTGGTCTTATTTAGCGAGGATTTATTAAATTGATCAAAAGTGACGGTAAAGACATTTATAATGTTAACACAAGAATTCTGTTTCAAACAAATCTTTGATGAAATTCTATTCATCAAAGAATCCTGGAAAAATATATCACGGTTTTTAACATTGATGATAACAATAAATGTTTCTTGAGCAGCAAATCAGCATATTAGAATGATTTCTGAAGGATCATGTGACACTGAAGACTGGAGTAATGATGCTGAAACATCACAGGAATAAATTGCATATTAAAAATATATTCAAATACAAAACGGTTCTTTTGGATTGTAATATTATTTCACAATATTACTGTATTTTTATAATAAATGCAGCAATGGTAAGATGTGCAAAAATGTTAAAAAATCATACCGACCACAAGTGTTTATTAGTTTGGGTTTTATTTGTTTAGGGGTCATGTTACTTCACTGTCCGTACACCCTTCTGGAAAACTCGCTCTCTCTGTCGGAACAGACAAAACTCTGCGGCAAGTACACAGATGTTTTCATGTTAATATGAATATCAAAAAATTCTGGTCAGATTGTTAAGCTGTGAATGTGTTTGAATTAATTTTAGTAATAAATATTTTGTTGTTCAACAAAAACATGACAAAATTTATTGCAGAACATGGAATCTTATTGAAGGACGTTCGGCTTTCATCAAGAATATCAAACAGAGTGAGATTATAATACAAAATACTTTCTGATTCTGTATTTTTTTGTTTTTGTTTTTCCTTTTATAAATTATTTTCTAGAATTATTGTATAATATTGAGAAAGTTCAACTTCTCAGCTAAATCAAAGCTCAATAAAACGATATATATTTTTTGTGCATACAGGTGCATCTCAATAAATTAGAATGTCGTGGAAAAGTTCATTTATTTCAGTAATTCAAGTCTGTGTGCATTGAATTTATTTAATACACGAGTTTCACAATTTGAGTTTAATTACTGAAATAAATGAACTTTTCCACGACATTCTAATTTATTGAGATGCACCTGTATAAGATGAGCAGTGTGTAATAATGTTTTGTAGATGCAGAGATCGTCTTGTGGTCACCAGACGGAGAGCAGTATGCAGTGGTTGTGAACGATCATGTGGACATTTACGTTCTGAAATCTGCCACAATTATTGGAACCATTGAGTTTACAAAAAGGATTTCATGTCTGAAGTTTCTGAAGGTGAACAGTCTTATCGGTGTTGCAAGAGAACCGATGCTATATGTCTATTCAATCAGTTCTAGTTTAGTTTGCAATTGAAATTTTGCTTCCCTGCTTTGTCAAATGTAACATTATCAATTTTATTTAAAAGCGAAGAAGTCTTATTCCAGTATCTTCTCTCTATGTCTCCTCAAGAACACACTCTTGGCTGTGGGAGGAGACGATGAGAGCGTGCGTATCTTTGACGTGACCTCACAGAAGTGTGTCTGCGAGTTTGAAGCACATGAGAACAGGTATGACCACCACTTTTGAACTTTTCTTTAAGGGTGCATCTCAGTCCCAGTGAACCGGCCGTTTCTAGAGTTGTCCTGTCATCAAAATCGTTCTAGTGCATCGAAATTCTCAGAATGCATTGTGAAATGAGTGAGATCTAGGGATGCACCGATATGAACATTTTGACCGATACCGATAACTGATAATTCTTTATTTTTGAAAGCCGATAACCGATATGTTGGCCGATAAATCTATATCCAAATTTTTATATACTTTTTGAGAGCCGATTACAAAAAAGTTCTCATCATTAAAACCCACATCCCAAACACTTCAACATAAGCAGCCTAGTTTGAACGGTGTACGTTTTAAAAATAATTTTACTCTCCCATTACCAAATTTAGTCATAAAAAAGTCTTACAAATAAATAAGGCCGATACCGATATGGTGGCCGATATATCGTGCATCCCTAGTGAGATCTGCTGTATTTGTTATTGCTGTGCTCATTTAATGTTTTTCCCCCAGAGTAAAAGCCATTGAGAGCTTCATGAAGGATGATTGTTGTGTCCTTGTTACGGCATCAAACGATGGATTCATTAAGTTGTGGAAGCTCAATCTTGAGGTATTGTGTATCTTCCTTGATTGTAAATATAACACGGACACAAGTGGGGTTTTTTAGCTGTGAGCTGAACCATTATATACAGTGGTGTGAAAAAGTGTTGGCCCCCTTCCTGATTTCTAAAAAATTTTGGCTTGATGGTTTCATTTTGATTGATCAGTATTGTATGCATATACAGAACCTGGAGACTCCTTCCCTGCTTGGCCAGGTGAACACCACTGCCAGACTCACCTGTCTTTCCATCTGGAAACGTGGTGAAGCAAAAGAAACGATTGCAGAGCAATCTGCCCAGCCTGAAACTTCTAAAGGTGCGGTTACATTTATCAGGGTTTCTGCGAATTTTCACAAGTGAAATCCAGTTGTTTCAATAGGAATCCATCCTAGTAGGAATTTCAAGAAGATTTTGCAACGGGTTCAAGTTGGTCACACAAATTTGTTGAAAGCTGCTTTGTTTGAAAGTGACTTCTGTGTGAGCTTGACAATAGACTATAGCAGTGGTCTCAGACTCAATTCCTGGAGGGCCACAGCTCTGCAGAGTTTTGCTCCAACCAGCTCCAAATCACACCTGCTTGGAAGTTTCTAGTGATCCTGAAGACCTTGATTAGCTGGATCAGGTGTGTTTGATTAGGGTTGGAGCTGAACTGTGCAGAGCTGTGGCCCTCCAGGAATTGAGACCACTGGACTATAGACCTATAGCTGAAATTTCATTGATGTGATCTCACCTTAAAGGGATAGTTCACCCAAAAATGAAAATTCATTGGAAAGTCATCATTTACTCACCCTCAATTCATTCCAAACCTGTATGAGTTTCTTCTGTTGAACACAAAAGAAGATATTTTGAAGAATGCAGGGTAATCATAGTATTATTTTCCATTCTATGGAAGTCAATGGCTTTAATTGACTTTAATTTAAATATTTACATGTATAAATATATATTCATATTTATACATAATTTAAATGATAATTTTAAATTCATAAAATTTAAATTCATGCAGCTGTCTGGTTACCAACATTCTTCAAATCATTATCTTTTGTGATCAACAGAAGAAAGAAACTTTTACAGGTTTGGAGCAAACTGAGGGTGAGTAAATTATGACTTTTAAATGTTATGTTAAGAGTTGAAATAGTTTCCAGACACCAAGTTGTCGAGGGAAAAACTTATTAATATCTATATATGTTCTCAAAACAGCTGTTGTGGAGCCCTCGAAGCCAGCCAAAGGTAAAAGAGTGAGGCTACCAGGAGAAGTGGTGATTCTAGAAGAAAGCAGCTCCACAAAACAAGGAAAAAAGAAGAAAAAACAAAAAGTGCAATAAACCGTTTTATTGAAATCATTGGTGGTGTTCTATTATTTACATTTCCTGTCTTTCCTGTTATATAGCTGAGTGATTTGCAATGCATTTATTGATGTCAACACCTTTTGAATTCCAGCTAAATGAAA